GCAGGAGGTACAAATGAATCAGGACAGCCCAGAAGTACTTCTGATTAGCTAGTTGATAGGTTTCTTCAGGTGCCTGGTGCAGCAGAACAACAGGCAGAAGGAAAAAGGGAAAGGCCTTTACTATTTTTGAGGACATGGAGAGAATTTGGGTAAGATAAAGAATTCTGTGAATTTGAACAAAGGGAGGTGGAGGCTTCTATGGCCTTCTGTAAGTGGTGGACTTTGAAGGGCATGTTTAGATATACCTGAGGGGCTGACTGGGGTCTTCCCTGAGGCAGTGGGAAGGGTGAAAGGAAATTGTACCCTGGGATGAGTCAAAGAATACAGGAGAAGGTGGTCTTGGGAAGATGGGCATTTGTTTTAAGTTCAGCCATATTAGATGACCACCATGATGGTTCAGAAATTTATAGTAGAGCCAGAACCTATCACTAGCAGCTGAAATAATCAGTTCTGAAGCTAGATTAATGATGTTTATATGCATTCAGTCATCTTGCACATACGGTTCCACTCTCGTGTATATAAGGGTGAAGAAAGTAATTACAAAGCCTCTGTAGGGCCTGGAAGTTTGCAAAGGACAAAGTTTAAAAAGGGAAAATGACTCTTGTGCTTAATTTTCCTTTAATCCTAAAAATGTTAGCCATTTTATCACTTTCTGTTGTCTCAGAACTGAATCAAAGTACTGCTCAGGGCAAAAGCATCCTGTCAATTTCCTCTTGGTTAATTTTTTCTGTTCTCCCTGAGTTGGATTCAGTTTCTCAATATCTTAGTCTCTACCCTCTTGCAGGAGGCAGTCCATGTCCACTAATATAGGCTGAGCGGACAGAGGCCATTGTGTAAAATCTGTGAATGTGAGTGTCTGCTGCCATGCAAGCTCTCCCACCCAGCTTCACAAAGCTGGGGATTTGCTCCCGGTCGTGCTGCTCTCTGCACAGCCATCATCACATCTGCAGTGCTTTTGTGTCCTACTGCAGAGTGGGTATGTAACTGTACTATAAAGTGCTTTTTGTGGGCTTACACATATGTACCGGGCTTTGTGTTCTGAAGCCCGTCTCCCTCGCCCAGCACATTCATCTGTATGAAATCACTTGGCCCCCAATAGTTGTAGTGAAACAGAGAAACCAAGCACAGGACGGAACCAAAGTCACTTGCATGGACATGGTTTATGGGCACATAGAAGTAAAGGGAGCTGTCCTCTGACTTCCAGGCAGGCCCCCAAGGAGAGGCTCCATCATCCCATGCAGGCTGTGAAGAATGAGGAGCAGCTGGTCAGGGCACTGCAAAAGGTAGGTAGCTTTCACCCACAGGCGCTGGTGTGGGAAAGCTCAAAGAGTTCGGGAGTGCAGTACGGGTCAGGAAGGCCTAAGTGTACAGG